AACGCCCCTATGCTGCATATCGAGTTTCTCGAATATGAAAAGTTTTCCCACATTTTGTGTGCTCCATTCCGAATACCCAAAAAAACTATTGGGAATATAATTCGAGCACATGTAGCCTTGTGGATCGAAAAAGAAATGAGATTTTACGTGCTTTTCTGAGCACATACATTATGGCGTATATGCTCTAATGTCACGTTTACGCACAGTAGTCCCAAGATAAATTTAATATAGTTTGACAGTCTATTACTATAAACTTCTAGACCACCATTGCGTATTCGTTAGGACTACCCTAACGATGTTTCTCCAATGACTTCATACAATATCCAGCTTGTCCACAATATTTTAGAGGATTATGTACTATTCCAAGAAGGCAAAAATTACTTAAATTTTCCTAAACCTGCAACTTTAATCTAATTAAAAATCAAACAATTATCATCGCCCTTAAATCCAAAAACTCAAAAAGATTTATTTTATATTTTTGTTTATCACTAACATTGTCTAAAACTCTTTATATTGAAGTGATAAAATCTATAATACAAAATTGAACACCTCTTGAAAAACTTTATAGATATTTGCTTTGCCCACAACGTGTAGTACCACAACACACCCTTCCCAATACGATATTAGTACTTCTACTAAGGCTAAAGAATGATAAGACTGTTATGAATTGGCCAAACACACAAAAAACAAACTCGAAATCTTATCTTCCACATTACTCCTCAAAGTGAAAAAAGAAAATCGCCTATATAAGACGAAATTTTCGCCAAAACCAGACACAGTTTGAATTTAATCGTTCTAAGCTAACAATCGCCATGAAATTCTTCATTGTCTTGGTTGCCGCTTTGGCTTTGGCTGCCCCAGCCATGGGTAAGACTTTCACTCGCTGCTCTTTGGCCCGTGAAATGTACTCATTGGGTGTACCCAAATCTGAATTGCCTCAATGGACCTGCATTGCTGAACACGAATCCTCTTACCGCACCAACGTTGTTGGCCCAACCAACTCCAACGGTTCCAACGATTACGGTATCTTCCAAATCAACAACTACTACTGGTGTCAACCATCCAACGGTCGTTTCTCCTACAACGAATGCAAATTGTCCTGTGACGCTTTGTTGACCGACAACATCTCCAACTCTGTTACCTGTGCCCGCAAGATCAAGTCTCAACAAGGCTGGACTGCCTGGTCTACCTGGAAATACTGCAGCGGCTCTTTGCCAAGCATCAACGATTGTTTCTAAATGCTTAGACGGTTTCTGGAATAAAATCTGAACATTTTCATACTATCTTATATGAGTTGTTTTGAGTTAAAATATGGGGTTTCATGGGGAATCAATTGGATGGAAATATGATGTTCTTGAAGCGTGGAAGTTGAGGTACACGCCTCTGTCTTTTTCTATTTGTAAAGAATTTATGTATAAAGTGCAATGATCCTTTAGGATTCCAACCAGAAGTAAGATCATATGTCTCGATTTTAATCATTGTAGAAGAGATATATTACCCCGCCGAAGTTCATAGTCTAAATTAAATACCTTGCATGATCATCCGCCTTTAGTGGAACGGAAAACCCTTGACAATATTGTATCGATTTAAAACTCTATTGAAATTTTACTGAGTACAATAGGACTGCTTAGCGATTGATTGACTATTTTGGAAGATTTAATTCATCATATAGGTTGTATGTTGGAAGATTTAATTCCTACATTGGCTTGCTATTCAGAATTCAATTTTTTTTATCATATGGACGTATACGTTCTGACAACAATTATGCGCACCATTGTTCTAATACACTATAACGAAAGTTCAATGATTTCATGTATTTATTTTCTAACCTACAAGGTATAAACTTAGATTTCTAAACAAAACTTATTGATATACAGGTGAGACTATATAGTGAACCAAATTTTGTAAGACCTGTTTAATGTATCCAGAGATATTTTTACACCTTATACGCCCAGGAATTTAGTTTTGAACCGTTTTCTTGTGGCTTTCACAGTTTAGATTCACTGTATCGAAGTAACACGACAATAAAATCCAACCTAAATATAGTTGCTCGATCACTTTTGTCCGTCTATATAGGATCTTATTGAGTACCACTACAAATTTTCACTGACAAACACCACTCAACGATACTAGTTAACCAGTGAGCGGAGCAGTATAGTCGGACGGGGCCGACCATATAATACCCTACACAACTTCCACGAAAATCTAACTTTCTGTGGTTCTATATTCTGAGCATGGGTATTTCGATATATTTACACACTCTTGACCGATTAGAGTTCAACCAATATTACTAATATTCAGAACTAATATTCTTGCGATGTTAGGCTTTCAATTGTGACCTATAGATCGACTCGAAATTATACAAAAAATTAAGTTCTCGGTCTAGTTCATCCCAAAATTATTATCTGATCATCAGCGAAAATTATAGGCGTTGTCCTTGAACATACATGGATCCTCATGGAAAATTTCAAAGCGATAAGAGCTATATTTCAGTCCTCTAGTGTGATAATGGGTTACTACATAATATCTGAATACGTAAGAACCTGTAAATATTTATGTGTAACTCCCACATCCAAGTACATACGACAATATAATTGGTACCAATTTAAAGGTCAACAACTCCTCTTGAATATACTATCAACTTCTCGGGTCTATGTCCTTCGGGAGTTAATATATACGCCATAGAATACAAATTTTGTAATTTTTCACACAAAAGTCAGGGTCCATTTGATCCGCTAAATATTGGCCGATCTTTATCAAAACAAGCATGCTTATTCTTTGGCCCGATCCCCTACTCCATGTAAAATTTCACAAAGTTCGCGCCATAATTGCGGCCTCTGGAGCGACCAGAAAAACCGACAAAAATTTAGTATTTGGTCCATTTCATCCTCTAAATATTAACCGATCTTTACCAAAAACAATAGGGGTCTTCATTAGCCAGAAACCATCCATCATGCAAAATTTCGTGAAGATTGGTCCATAACTGTGGCCTGTATCGTGTTTACAAATTATAATGGAGAGACGGACACACATGTCTAGATCGATTCAGCTAGTCGAGATATGACGACCGGTATACTTAAAGGTGGGTCTAGGACCAATATTTCGCGGCGTTACAAACTCTTGGGGCTGCACAAAGCTATAATACCCTGACAACATAGTTGTGTAGGGTATAATGATCATATTGTTTTATTTTTTTGCATTTTTATAACAATTGACTCTACTAAGAGATAAACACGCTCAATACCTGAATATACTAATGAATAATACATATAAAACACCTAGACGTATTCGTTTTTACAACACGAATACGTACAGGTGTCCCACTGAATATATTTTAATATTCTCAACAAAAAACCTGCAAACACCGGAGCGAATTCGTGTTGATAATACGTATACGCGCAAATACCCCAAAGCAGAAAACCAATTATGAAATGTACTTCATATGTAAAGATCTTTCGTACTTCTTATTATGTAAAGGAACCAATATTGACTTTAGCGTAAATTCTTTGATATTTCGCCATCAATTAAATAGGCTATTTATCGAACACCTAAGCGTATACATTCTGGTATCGTGTATACGTACAGATGCTGCAATATTTAAAATAAAATAATTCGATGTCCTCAATAGGTCTTTATATTTTGGCCGTTGCTTATATGTGGAAGTCCAAATGGTTTTAACTATGAGTCATAGCCTTAAAACTAATTCTAGTGATTTTTATATCCGTAATTTTACACCCACCCCCAAAAATTTCCCTAAACAATAAAATAATAAAAATTTTACCTTTCTTTTCAAATCAATTTTTAAATATTTATTTCATCGTCCCAATTACCGTACAATTTAGAAACAATCATTGATGCTTGGCAAAGAGCCGCTGCAGTATTTCCAGGTAGACCAGGCAGTCCAGCCTTGTTGAGACTTGATCTTGCGGGCACAGGTAACGGAATCCTTAATGTTATCGGTCAACAAAGCGTCACAGGACAATTTGCATTCGTTGTAGGAGAAACGGCCGTTGGATGGTTGACACCAGTAGTAGTTGTTGATTTGGAAGATACCATAATCGTTGGAGCCATTGGAGTTGGTGGGGCCAACAACATTGGTGCGGTACGAGGATTCGTGTTCAGCAATGCAAGTCCATTGAGGCAATTCAGATTTGGGTACACCCAAAGAGTACATTTCACGAGCCAAAGAGCAGCGAGTGAAAGTCTTGCCCATGGCAGGGGCAGCCAAAGCCAAAGCGGCAACCAAGACAATGAAGAATTTCATGGCGATTGTTAGCTTAGAACGATTAAATTCAAACTATATGTTTCCTTGGAGTTCGAGAGGTTTATATAGCAGAAAAATGGTAGAAGATAATGCTTTTATTATCTATTTGTTCCTTTGTTGCACAAAATATGGTAATATCAGTAAAGTCTTATCAAACATTTGCACTTGGCTATCATATCTTGTTGTACATTGAACACTTTATGTTTGAAGTCCATATCAATTTTTTATAGTGATTCCCCATCTTTTGAAACTGCCATTACCTAGACATTTCTAAAACCAAAAATGAATGTAAAATAATATTTGCACTTAATACAAGAATAACCACAAAACTGCAGGTAGCGTATACATATTAACAACACGTATACGTCACCCTTGATAGTAGCATAGTCTACAGTCAGAATCAGAGGACAGAAAATAAATAATTGCCGATTTATATCATATATTATCATTGATTCTCATTCAATATTAATTTGAAAAGGTCTACAATAAGGCATAATTTGGGAATTCATCGCACCCAAAATGCAGATACCACAATAATAAAAAAATTATGTTCAACAATTGAACTTTAAAACTGCAATAGATAATTCAATGTGATACTTGAAATAAATATTAGATATTGTGCTACAAATCATATCTTATCACATTGACTTTGTAGAAAACACTGCAAATTTTGGTATATAAACCCCTTGAATTTTGGAGTTCAGACATAGTTTGAATTTAACCATTCGAAGCTAACGAAATAAACAACAATCGCCATGAAATTCTTCATTGTCTTGGTTGCCGCTTTGGCTTTGGCTGCCCCAGCCATGGGTAAGACTTTCACCCGCTGCTCTTTGGCCCGTGAAATGTACTCTTTGGGTGTACCCAAATCCGAATTGCCCCAATGGACCTGCATTGCTGAACACGAGTCGTCGTACCGTACCAATGTTGTTGGTCCCACCAACTCCAACGGTTCCAACGATTACGGTATCTTCCAAATCAACAACTACTACTGGTGTCAACCATCCAACGGCCGTTTCTCCTACAACGAATGCAAGTTGTCCTGTGACGCTTTGTTGACCGATAACATTAAGGATTCCGTCACCTGTGCCCGCAAGATCAAATCTCAACAAGGCTGGACTGCCTGGTCTACCTGGAAATACTGCAGCGGTTCTTTGCCAAGCATCAACGATTGTTTCTAAATTGTTGGCGATTTGACTACGATGACTTAATAAAAGATTAAAAACGATTTGAAGAAAAATATTAGTATATTATTTTTTGTCAATTTGGGAGTAAATGGTTCAATATCAGTAACATGCATACACATGATTTAATTTTTTCCCCAATTGGCTATTGAGACATTCAAATACCAGGGTACTTTAAATTTCACAGAGACATTACTATTGAAATTGGACTTGATGTAAAACCATTAACTGTAAGAGTATTCATTATAGTTTTTGTAAGGTATTGGTGCGTATACTTGATGTCGCCACCAATACGACCTAGAATACTTCATTAATCCCATGGAATATGAACATATTCATCTCAAATTTGTATATGTGGTCAATTGTGTGTATCATTGATGTCAATACGTAGAAGCCCTTTGGTAGATGTGAAATATTAATTGAAATTATATTTGTATTTTTTTCAATAAATAATAATTTTAAATGAAATACTTTTCATGTCCATAATTTAATTAATATGTTGCTTCACTGTTTCATGATTGATACAAAGGAGAATATAAGTGAAATAGATTGGTTTCTATTATTTTACTCCATTATTGAACAGCGCACAGTTTAATACCCTTAATCGATCCCATTAAATGTGTCCTATTGCATCTACAATAAATTTTAGGCTGGAGCTCATGTACGTATACTTCATGTCAAAGCCAATACGCCTAATGGGACAGATAAACGAAATACTTTTGTTATATCTTGACTAATTACTTTTGCAAATAATAATAGTGCCAAATTATTGTTTACTAAATGGTAGACTTGTATACCCTACATTTTCGACCGATTAACAAATTTATATTAGGGGGTCTCCTTAAGGGAAGGGAGGGGTCTCATTAAGGGAACCCCCCCCATTCTGGATTTTAATTTTTCAAGATTTTCAATGGGCTGGTAAATCAATACCAATGTTTGTTAAGGTTTGTAACATTGCACGTATATAATTGAAGATTTAAAAGAGAAGAAAAATAATTTACAAAAAATTTTTGTTATTGTTTTGTTGTTGTTTTTTGCAATTAAAGAAAAGTCCTTATTTTTGATGGCGGGCATGATAACTCCTCACTGGAACATCGGAATCCGAAAATTCCAACGGTGTTACAAAGAGTACATGTCTGGCTCTCGTATGAACTAGGATTATTGACTTCGCTCTAAAATTAACAAAATGGCGGACCTTTGAAAAAATATTTTTGAAAAATCGCCGATTTTTGACCAAAAACCAAGTTAAAAAATAAGGAAATTTCCTTCCTTAAATACCATACCTACGCTTATCAAATTGTTTATTTTATTTTAGAGATCTATATATTTAAAGTATATGTCTTTAAAAATCAACTTGATTCCATATTCCCTATGCATCATCAAATCATTCCATACTCTTCCATTTTTATACTTATAAATTAAAAAAATAATTCATTTCCCCCCATATATAAAAACCACCTTATTTATTTTACTCATATCATTTTCAATTCTTTATTTCGTCACCATCGTTAAATCACCAACAATTTAGAAACAATCATTAATGCTGGGCAAGCTACCGCTGCAGTATTTCCACGTAGACCAAGCAGTCCAGCCTTGTTGAGACTTGATCTTGCGGGCACAGGTAACGGAATCCTTAATGTTATCGGTCAACAAAGCATCACAGGACAACTTGCATTCGTTGTAGGAGAAACGGCCGTTGGATGGTTGACACCAGTAGTAGTTGTTGATTTGGAAGATACCATAATCGTTGGAGCCATTAGAGTTGGTTGGGCCAACAACATTGGTGCGGTACGACGATTCATGTTCAGCAATGCAGGTCCATTGGGGCAATTCCGATTTGGGTACACCCAAAGAATACATTTCACGGGCCAAAGAACAGCGAGTGAAAGTCTTACCCATGGCGGGGGCAGACAAAGCCAAGGCAGCAACCAAGACAATGAAGAATTTCATGATTGTTGAATGTTTCGTTAGCTTCGAATGGTTAAATTCAAACTATGCCTGAACTCCAAAATTCAAAGGGTTTAAATAGCAATTTCTTCGAAATAGAATGCAATTGATAAGAACCGTAATATGCATTGAACAATTTATTTTTAGTCTATAATTTCAAAAATAAGTTTCGAGTCCAAATACATTCTTATCAAACTTTCCAATGCATTATCTGTTCGTACTATAAAGAAAAATACGTATTCTTTGTTACTTTAATCATCACTTTCACATCTTCTCGGTGGGTAATTATGTCAAGAGGTTTGTTCAAGTATGTCGTTTCAAGTCTAGACAGTTCTTAAGTATTTGACTTAAATCTAAAAATACATAAAATTAGAACGCAATTTATTGTGATTTTTAAAATAATAACAAGTATCAGGTTGCGTATGATTTTCTACAGTACGTATACGTCATTGTTAGACAAATATACGCCATAGTTGATAGTATTCTAGAAAATTTGAATTAAATTCCCCTAAAATAGAGACAAAGGTAAGATTGGAATCAGTTCTTAAAACGTTTAATCTTAATTGGGATATGTTTATTTTTACCACCAAATTTTAAATATGGGATATGCAGAATTAATTGAACAGCGATCACATCAAGAATATATTAGACTCACATTGCTTTGAGTGATAACACTCGTGTGGATGATAATGCCAAAATATTGCATTTTTAACAAATAATAGATAAAATAAGTACATTTAATTAATAAACATAAAATAATATTTTGTAATCTTATCGATATCAACACTGACCCAGAAATTTAGTATATAAACCCCAAGATCGTCAAAGACCAACATAGTTTGAATTAAACCATTCGTAGTTAACGAAACATTTAACAATCATGAAATTCTTCATTGTCTTGGTCGCCGCCTTGGCTTTGGCTGCCCCCGCCATGGGTAAGACTTTCACTCGCTGTTCTTTGGCCCGTGAAATGTACTCTTTGGGTGTACCCAAATCGGAATTGCCCCAATGGACCTGCATTGCTGAACACGAATCCTCTTACCGTACCAACGTTGTTGGTCCCACCAACTCCAATGGCTCCAACGATTATGGCATCTTCCAAATCAACAACTACTACTGGTGTCAACCATCCAACGGCCGTTTCTCCTACAACGAATGCAAGTTGTCCTGTGACGCTTTGTTGACCGATAACATTAAGGATTCCGTCACCTGTGCCCGCAAGATCAAGTCTCAACAAGGCTGGACTGCCTGGTCTACCTGGAAATACTGCAGCGGTAGCTTGCCCAGCATTAATGACTGTTTCTAAGTTGTTGGAGTTTTTTGTTTTATGATGACGAAATAAATTATTGAAAATGATATGAGTAAAAAAAAATAATGTGATTTTTATTTATGAAGGATATTAATTATTTAAAATAAATCTCGTAGAGTATAGAATGACCTGATGATGCAAAGACAAAGTGAAATCAAGTTAAAATTTAACGATATATTCTTTAAATATATAGACCCCAAAAAAAAAAAATATAAAAACTCATAGGCATAGGTATGGCATTTAAGCCTGGTATTTGTTAGGAATTTTCAACACTTTAAGGGGCTGTCTTAAACTATAGTTTTATTCTCTGGAATCGAGCTTTATTCAGCTGAACTAAAATTAAGACTGTGTTTCTCTGATAATTCATGATTTTTGCTTAACCAAAACTAATCTTTGCTACCATGATGATATAGACATATAATTCCGAAATCATTACTATATATTTATTAGTCTGTCAAAAATGTAGGATTTACACGTCTCCCGCTTAGTAAAGAATAATTTGGTACTATTACTATTTCAAAATAATAAGCCAAGATATTACAAAGATATTTTGTTTATCTGTCCCATTAGGCGTATTGGCTTTGACATGTAGTATACGTACATGAGCTCCAACCGAAAATTGATTGTAGATGCAATAAGACACATTTAATGGGGTCTATTAAGGGTACTAAACTGTGCGGTGTTCAATAATGGAGTAAAATAATAGAAACCAATCTATTTGACTTATATTCTCCTTTATATCAATCATGAAATAGTGAACCATAAGTTTAATTAAATTATTGACAATGAAAGTGTATCATTTAAAATTATTATTGATTGAAAAAATACAAATATAATTTCAATTAAGATTTCACATCTACCAAAAGGGTTCTGCGTATTGACTTCAATGATACACAAAATTGACCATATATACAAAATTGAGACGAATATGCTCATATTGCATGGGAATAATTATGTGCTGTAGGTCGTATAAGTGGCGACATGAAGTATACGCCTACCACTTACCAAACCTACAATGGAAATAACAATATACTCTTACAATTATGGGTTCTACATGAAGTCCAATTTCAATAGTAATGTCTCTGTAAAATTAAAAGTAGCCTGGTATTTGAATGTCTCAATAGCCCATTAGGAAAAATTTAAATCATGTGTATTGTTCTGAATGAAATTTAACCCCTTACATCCAATATAAAAAATCAATTATTAATATTTTTTGTTCAAATCATTTTCAATTCTTTATTACGATATCGTAGCCAAATCGCCAACAATTTAGAAACAATCGTTAATGCTTGGCAAAGAACCACTGCAGTATTTCCAGGTAGACCAGGCAGTCCAGCCTTGTTGAGACTTAATCTTGCGGGCACAAGTGACGGAATCCTTAATGTTATCGGTCAACAAAGCGTCACAGGACAACTTGCATTCGTTGTAGGAGAAACGGCCGTTGGATGGTTGACACCAGTAGTAGTTGTTGATTTGAAAGATACCATAATCGTTGGAGCCATTAGAGTTGGTTGGGCCAACAACATTGGTGCGGTACGACGATTCATGTTCAGCAATGCAGGTCCATTGAGGCAATTCCGATTTGGGTACACCCAAGGAGTACATTTCGCGGGCCAAAGAACAGCGTGTGAAAGTCTTACCCCAAGCAGGAGCAGCCAAAGCCAAGGCAGCGACCAAGACAATGAAGAATTTCATGATTGTTGAATGTTTTGTTAGCTTAGAATGGTTAAATTCAAACTATGTCGGTCTTTGGC